GTCGCCTCGAGTCCAATCATATTTTCACAGAGCTCTGAATGAAAATTACTTCAGAACCTAAGCTGTGTACTTTTTCTTGCCAACTGCATTAAAAATCAAACCAAAAACTAATCAGCTTCTTCCCTCAACAAAGCACATTTAATATCTCATTAACTTCGGAAAGTTTCACAGCAAATTGGCATAAATGGACACTCTGGAAGGAGCATTATTGTCTTTCTGTCTAAATAGCTCCTGACACTCTTTCTCCCTCCCTGACAGAGCTCTCTGCATAGTGGCATTGTACAAAGAGGGCACATGGCAGGATTTGTTCACCTGCTTCTCTCTCTGTCATGACTGAGATGAACAAATAGGCCTGTCAGGCCTTTGTGTGCTCCTCTGTCATCAGGCTGCACTGTGGAAATTAACTTGAAATATTATCAAGAAACTTTTTGCTCCTTTGAATCCAGGTACAGGAGTTGTGGCTCATTGCAGTTATTCATTCCACATACCTGGCTCTATTCCACAGTTGTTAGGCACACAGTAATAGCACAGCAATAATTCTGATACACACAGCCATCAAGAAGCAAAACCCAGGGCAAGGAAATTGCAATTTCAGAGATTTCTTCAAATCCAGGAGTCTCCAATCAGGAGAGACGTGCACTATTCCTTTAAAAACCATCAAGAGTCAAGGTCTTCTCTAAAGAATAGCAAAACTAAAGGAATATATTCCAAGTCTGTTGGGTTTGCGGTGGAGTTTTTTTTTTCCCTTTCCCTCAATACGAGGAATCAGAACAGATTTGGGAACCACTAGGAGGAACAAGACAGGCGAACACCACATCACCAAGTAATGTGGTATCTACATCAACTCCACTCAATTTCATTCATAAGTATTTCTCGGGCTTTAATAGACCCAGATCATCATACCTGTTTCAAAACTCTTTAGAAAAAGACACATGAATGCTTTCAGTCACATTTTCCACAACACTGTAAACCTGAGAAGAAAGGGCAGCTCCTAAGGAAGGCAATGCAAGGAATTTGCCAGAAGCATGTTTGGGAGCAAAACTGTGTGAAGATGTCATGTTTTTATGGGCTCTAACTTAGGCCTATTAGCTCAAAGGGCACAAGATAATTTTCTATTTGAATTTGGAGCTAGGAAAAAATTTCCCTCTCAAAATAAACTTTTCTAACAGTACTTTCTTTTTGAAGATAAAGGAAACTGTTCAGTTGCAACATAAAGCTAAATTTAATACATGTCTTAGTTACTTTTCTCCTTGCTGAGACAATATACCCAACCAGAAGTTAAAGGAGGAAAGGTTTATTTTGGTTCACAGTTTGAGAGGTTTTAGTTGATAATCAGCTGGCTCCAAGGCACATTGGTATGGCAGAGGGGCATCACAGTGGAGAAATAGCTCAAGGCAAAGCAGGGCAGGCAGAAGGCAGCAAATCAGTGAAATAGCAAAGCAGAGGTGGGATCAGAAGCAGCAGCATCTTTCTGTCCCTTTATATTCCATCCAAACTACCAGCCTTTTAAGTGGTGCCACTCACACCCTTAATCCCAGCATCACACACCCTAATCCAGTGACCTTTGCAATTCTCCACCTATGACCACATGAGGCTTTGAGGGGCTGTCTAGATACCAGCCATAACAATGTAGAAGTACGAACAGTACAATAATAAGTCACTCCAGGTATCTGGCAATATTCATCTTCTATTCGTTTTACTTAATTTGTTTTCTGATTATTTTTATATCTTATTCCCATCTAGTTTAATATTATAAATTTTCTCTCTGTCTGGCATAGAGCACCACGTACAAAAAAATTCTAATTAAGAAGGTGATTTACCACTCCACACCTACTAGAATGGCTAACATCCAAAATACTAACAATACAGATTGCTCACAAAGATACAGAGCAACAAAAATGTTCACTCCTGGGGAAGATGCAACCTGGAATAGGCCCTCAGTAGAGACAGGTTAGCAGGTTCTTACAAAGCTAAACTTAGCCTTACCATAGGACCCCAGCAATTGTGCTTCTAGGCATTTACCTAACTGATGTGAAAACTAATGTTCACACACAAACCTCTATAGAAAGGTTTGTGGATGCTTCATTCACACTGGCCAAGAATGGGAAGCAACCAAGATGAACTTCAACAGGCATATGGATAAACAAATTGTGGGACATCCATACAACAGGGAATCATTCAGCAATAAAACAAAGTGAACTATCCAGCCCCACAAAGATATGGAGGAATCTTAAGTGCATATTGCGCTAAGTGAAAGAAGCCAATGTAAAAAGCCTGCCAGTTACTGTATATGACATCCGGTTGTATGAGAAAGCATGGAGATGTAAAGGGCAGTGGCTGTCAGGGGGTAGAGAGGCGAGGAGCACAGAACAGGTGTAGATCAGGGAATTACGGAGTAGTGAAGTCACTTGCACAATTCTGCAGTGGTGTATACATGACGCTACACACTTGTCAAATCCACAGGACAAGAAATAAATCCTAATAAAGACAACAACAACAACAACAGAAAAACATGAGAGGTTGGGAAATACCAGGATGGAATACAGACTATGACTAATGCAGCTAATTATATTACAAATATATGAAAAAGCTCCCAGAAGGGGTTGGAGGAAGAAGTGCTATCCTATGTAACATTGGAAATGAGTGGTGTCTGTAAGACTAAAAACAAAAGAAATTATATAGGTCCTGAGCTCTTGTTAAATATGAAAGGTATTTCTGTTTGTAGGGGTTATGGGGTACAGCTTAACAATTTTCATACTGCTCTACTCACATACTGGAATCGAATGATTAACTAAAAGGACAGAAGGGGCCAAGCTTCTCACTATTGGAGCAGGAGGTTAGAGTAATACAGTGTGTGGTAATGGATTGGAATTGCAGACATCCATATGGATTCATGCTTGGCTTAGTATAGGTACACAATTATGTATAGAAATATTTAGAGATCCTGTACATAGGTTAGTACATACACGTTATCCGATTCTGTCAGCCGAGGAGGCCTTTTACCCTTCAGTTGTGACACACACATCTGTCAGCTAGATCTTGGTTTCCAATAGTACTCCCCAATAAGAGGAATCACAACTCTTAGAGAACTGGCTGCTTCTAGGCTGGAGCAGGAAATACACAAGGCTGGGCCATTTTGCAATGCCAGAAAACAAGAAAGTACAAAAGCAAAACAACCCACAATAAGGAGGGCATGTCAAAGGGATGAAGGAGCCAACTGAAAGAGCTCCCAATGGCCAAAGCTAGGACAAGTTGAACAATAAAATACATGGTATTAATTATAACTCAAATAAAAAGTAAAGACCCATGAGTCTATACTAGTATAAATAAATGACTAAAGAAATAGAGAATACATAAATCTCCTATGAGGCAGAATAATATTTTATGTAAATACTATGCCCTCAAGGTATGGATCACAATTCTGTACTCTTCAGATATGGGCTGCACATAGTGACCGCTTCCCGAGAAGTCCAGTTTGGAAGGGAGAAAGGAGGAACTACACTGGAGAAACCTGGCAAACGTCACTGCAGGCCAGGTGTCACCTTAGCAGTTGACAGTCATGTTGGCAACATGCACCCTTGAGATGAAGTGCCTAAAATGGGACATCACCGCTGTGGTCTTCATCCCAAAAAGGTACGACCCCCAACATGAGAAAAACCTCAGACAAATGCAAATTGAGGGACACAACAGAATATCTGACCAGTGTGCCTCAAAAGTGTTGAGGTCATCAAAAACAAAGTCTGAGAAACTATCACACCCAAAGGAGTCTAAGGAGACAAAAAGACCAAATATAATGTGGTACGGTGGATGGGATCCTGGGACAGAAAAATGAAGATGAAAGACCTTTGGTAAAAATGAAAGGAATCGGAATGAAGTGGATTTTGTTAATAATGCATCGGTGCTGATAAATTAATTGGAATAAATGTACCTTTCTTATGTAAGAGGTTGAAAGGGGAAAGTGGTGTCAGGTGTATGGGAACTCTGTGTTATCCTCAAATAATTATATGAAATTAAAACTTTGTTCTTACTGGTATGGTATATGTTTGTGATACATAATATTTGCATTTGTTTTGGGGAAGATATATATCATATCTGGATCATTTTTGTTTGCTTTTGGGTACCAGGAATCAAACTTGGGACCTTGCGCTTGCAAGGCAGGCGGCAGAACCACTGAGCTAAATCCCAGGCCCTCTGGATCATTTTTGATCCCTTTTCTCCCCTCTCATCTTTCCCTGACCCCCTTCCCCAACTCCAAAAAGTCTGCTTTCCAGTTTCCTACCATCTCCGCTTTGTCTTACTCGTTTTTTATATTTTGGGTTTCTTATATAAGAGAAACCAAGCAATATTTAACCTTCTGTCTGATTTTTTAATTTAACATTATAGTTTCAAGATTCATCCACTGTCCTGTGAATGATGTGAATTCATTCTTCTACATGGTAAAGTAAAATTCCATTTCCACCTTTTCCTCATCCCAGTAACAGCCAAAACAATCCTGAGAGAAAAAAGGGCAAAATGGGAGGCCTCACAATTCTGGATTTCAAATTACACTAGCTAGGAAGGAATAGTAACAAAAACTGCATGGTACTGGCACAAAAATAAACGTGTAGACCAAGGGAATAGAAGACACAAAAATAACCCAAGGCACCTTCAGCCATCTGATCTTTGACAAAGGGGGCAAAAACATACCGAGTAAAAACAGACTCTTTTAACAAACGGTGCTGAGAAAAGTGGCGGTCGTGGTGCAAAGAATGGAACTAAACCCATCTCTCTCACTTTGTACTAACACCAAATCAAAATGGATTAAAAACCTAGAAATAAAAACAGAAACCCGAAACTGCTGGAAAATAACACAGGGGAAACACCTGAATCTGTAGATGCAGGGAAGGACTTCCTGAACCGAACTCCAATAGCACAAGAAGCAAAGCCAAGAATCCACAAATAGGATTATATTAAACAAAACAAAAACTGTTTTAAAATCAAGTTAATTTAAAAGCTCGCACCTGGAGAGCGTGGCCTTGGTCTCAGAGGCGAATCCCGGCAGGGTGCAGCCACTCCGGAGTCAGACCTTCGCGAGGTGCCCTCCACACAGGGGGCAGTCGTAACAATGTAGCCTGAGTGCACGCCAGAGACTGGCGAGGAACTCGCTGATCCCAAGGAAATGGGTGTAGTGTGCACACCACAGCACCCCCCCCGCCCCAACTGGGAGCACTGTCCCCCCTTGAGGAGGCCCTGAGAGGGCGTCTGGGCGGGAGCACAGGCGAGTTAAGACTGGCGGGCTGGGCTGGAGAGCAGATGCGACCCGCCAGACTCGCGAGCCCAGCGGACTAGGGAGCGAGGCAGCCTCATCAGGCCCCTGTGCTCGGAGGAGCCAGACAAGCCAACGTGAGATCACACAGCTTTTTCCCCTACTGGGGATTGAACCCGAGGCCTTCATACTAAGCTGCCCTCCTCCAACCCGCTCCGTCTCCCCCACCTTTAAATTCTGAGCTCTAGTCTTGCTAAATTGCTAATTTGCTCAGGCTGAGTTCCCTCTTGCAGGCCTCCTGCCTCAGCCTCCCAGAGTTGCTGGGATTACAGGCATGAACCACCTTGCCCGGCTTCCCAGTTTTTCATTTAACTGTGATGAAACTTTTTTTATAAGAAAACATTCTTCTTGCTAAACCGAACACACCTGAAAGTCTTACTGGGGCCCAGGACTCGAGTCTGAGCCCTCTAAGGGGGTGTCCCCACAGCACTGAGGCTTCCACAATTACTTATTTAAAGCCTGGTAGGGTGGGAATTTGACATAAAGCTCTGCTGCCCACCACATGTGGTTAGCACGTTAGCCATGTGAGAGATGTGGCTATTTAAATTAAAATTAATTAAAGCAATATAAAATTTAAAATGGCCTGGGTTCCACTGGGCCCGAGATAGGACATTAGGAAGTGGCAAAAACTGTCTGGGGAAGTGGGCCTGACCTGTTAATTACAAGATCCCAGAACACATGGGCAGAACAGGTCCCAAGGCCCTTAAGGAGGACTTGGAGGCCTAGGCCTGACCTCAGCCTGAGGCATGGGACTCCAGCACCGTCTGTCAGGACCCGGATGTGGAAGTTCCCCCGTGTTTCTTCCAGATTTGGACAGTATAAAAGAAAGACAGCCATGAGGAGTCGGTGCTGTCATAACTTTATGATAGCCCACGTTGTGTTTCCCACTCACGCAGCCTGTACTTTTATCTTTGCTCTCACCCTCACTTTCTATTTATTTGGTCCAAGCTCACTCTGCAGAGCCAGTTTCTCTTCCATTCTCAATTTTTGCTTTCTTTAATAAACTTTGCCACTGGTTTTTGCTCCTTTGGTTCAGTTCTTTTTCTGAGGTGAGAAGAACCTGGAATCCAACTCCAAAAGGAAAGGTGAGCAATCCAGAACCCAGTAATGTTTAGTTGACGAGCCACTTTTCAGAAACAAGCTACCTGGTAACAGCCCCATTTGAAGTTCTCAGCAACAGCCTTTTCCATCACTGAGGGAAGTTCCAGGGAATGGTGCGGCTGAGTAAAGGACGTATTGGGAAAATTGGCAAAATCTGAACACAAAGTCTGTCCCTGTTGATTGCTTCTATGTTAAGTATCCCAATTTTGATCATTGTGATATAGTTATATAAAAAGAAAGTCCTTGTTCTCAGGAAGTACATGTGGAAGTATTTAGGGACAAAGGGGACAACTTAGTCTTGATTAATTCAGAAAGTTACTGACGTACATAGAATGATAAAGCAAATGAGGCAGCTGGTGAGCCTGGGTGCTATTCTTTCAGTTTTTCTGTAAACTTGAAATTATTTCAAAATAATTTTAAAAAGAAAAATGCAAGAACAAAACTCTCCAAGAAAGCCCATTGAGCGAAACACCAAGACTATTTCCCAAACACCAGTCCCCAACTTTCGGTTCTCACAGTGCACTCCCATTGATTTAATTATGCCCATCACTCATCCTTTGATCTTCAGTGGCCTTCGGAACTCCTCGCTGCTCTCGTGGCTCCTTACGTGCTCACTGGGCAGTTTCTCAAGCACTGATGAACTCCATCTTTGCTTCCAGACTGGTAGGATGGGACACCTCCTCCTGCTTGGGCCCATCCCCTGAGCCTCTGTGGCCAACGTCTGCCTGGAAAAGATTTGTCAGGACGGCGTACGTTCTCAGCTGCCACCCACATACTCTTTGTCCTTTGGTTAAAACTGGCAGCGCATTGGAGGCCTCCATCCATACATCTAAGGATTACTTCGTAAGAGATTTGTTTCCATCTGTATGCGTATACTTACCTAAATGTGCATCTGAGATGACACATGAATTTAATTTCTGTGGATTTTTCCTTTTTCCTCTTTTTCTTGTCCTCTGCTCCAAACTTTTTCTCCTTGGCTTCTCCACCAAGGCACAGATGCTATTACGGTGCTTTCACCTCTGTTGCAACCCGTGCCCCTGGCCTTACCCACACAGTTGGCTGTCCATTCTCCCTGGCACTGCAGGAGGAAGCATCTGTGGTGCCAGGGTCCCCTCAGTTGGTTTTCTACATCAGCCTTTTATTAGTTTGTTAGAGGAACACCTTCTTGTTATTAACCTTTGTTAAGCAGTAGAGCGCCTGGTGCTTGTGGTCATAGGATCTGCATGGTATTGTAATTAAATTCAGCAAACTTAGGTAAACGTTTCTTGAAAGCCTACTTTTGGCTCTAGGCACTCTGCCAGGTGCTGCTGATACAAACATCATCAATAAGACTTTGCCCTTGAGGAGTTCCCAGGCAGCAAAAAAAAAAAAAAAAGAATGTGATAAATGCTGGTTTCATTAGCAGTGCCAGGGTATACTGGGGTTGGTGCCAGAAGCACGGTCTCATCCAGGGTGGGGAAACCCACCTTCATAGAGCATGCTGTGTCCTAATAGAAGTTCTGATGTTCTAAGTCTGGCACCTTTTGATGTGCAGCCTTCCAACTTCGATCTCATTAACTGCCATCCATCACACTCTCAGGCTCCCAACCTTGCTGTATCTCCCAACTAAAGGCAGTTTCAAATTGGACCAAGTTGAGGCCCAAATAAAGGATCCAAGGCAGGAATGTGTCTGCTCCCAAGGGCTGCTCTCTGTAGACAGAAATAGTTTACTGCTCTAGCTGTCTCCTCTTTCCTGAGAGCTCCCCACTTGTCTTTTGAAAATAGATCCTGTCCTTTTCAGCGTTTTCTATTAGCTGCCGCCTCCACCCACTCTCGGGCTTTGAAGTTTATGGCTAATTCAACACTTCTTTCCTGCCTGTTTAAGAAGCACTTCTGTGCGACATCAGATGAAATACTCAAGGTTGGGTGTGTACATTTTCCACACCATCTCAGCTAGCAACAGCTGAACTATAGTAGGAAGTGACAGTGACTTCATAAGTACATCCCATTAAACCCACACTAAATATATTCCAAGGTCAACAACCCCTTGGCAGAATTCCCCAGAGTGCCCTGGGGACTGCAACACCTACTGCTGGATAGGAGGGAAAGTCAGAAAGAAAAGAGCCATCTTAAACTACTGCAGTTTAAAAAGAAATCTTTCATAAAATTAACAAAAACACGGGATTCACTGGGACTTTTGAGAACTCCCAGGGCAAACAAGGGCTTCTAAAGCTCAGGCCTCAGTAGGTTCCTGGTATCTTCACTTTGCTTATACCAAAATATTTTTAATGAATCACTCATGAAATCACTGACTTCTGCAGTGATTCCTCTGAGGGCCTTTGATTTCAGAAGCTCTCTCTGGGGAAGGCATTCCTGAGATCCCTTGTTTTTTCCAGGACATATTAAGTGAAATTATTTGCAGCCTCTTTTAAGTACACAGGGCTCAAAACAGGGGTTGACCATGATGTCCTAGTTTTAGCTCTGCAAGTCTCATGTCCGAGGAAAGCTCCTCCATCCCAGGAAGTCCCAGTGGTTGCTGACCCTACCTTGGGCTCTCAGAGGAGATGTAGAGGAGCTGAAGGTTTAACCTTCACATAGACTTGGGGCTATATCCCTGCCTGCCTTCCCTACACAGCCTTCAGCATCTTGAGCTTGGAGGCAGTGGAAACAGCTGGCTGACTTAGGCAGAAAAAAAGATTTATTAAAAGGATATTTTTCTCTCTCGGCTTTTCTTCCTTCCACCTTTGACTCTTTAAGTCAAAGCCCTGGGTAGGAGCATGTGATTTGCCAAACAGACACGTGTTAAAAACAAACAACAACAACAAAAGTAACAATAACCCCCCCCCCCCAAAAAAAACTTGTGTCTGGGGCAGGATCTGCCTGTTCTTCAGCTTTTGTCGGGTGGGGAGCTTACTGAGCCCCAGACCTATACATCGGTCTCTTAGTTCCTTTGGGCTGCTCTAATAAAATACCTTAAGCTGGACAATTTGTAGCAGATATTTATTACTTATACTTCTGGAAGCTGAATGGTCCAGGATCAAGGTGCTGGTGATTTGGTATCTGGAATGTACCTATTCTGCATAGGTGGTGATTGCCTCCTGTGTCTTCACATGATAGAAGGAGCAAAAAGTCTCCCTCAAGCCCTGCAGGGCACTAATCCATTCATGAATGTGGAGCCCTCATGACAATCACAGCCCAAAGTCCTCCTCTCAATATCATCTTCTTGGTGGCTTGGTTCCACATTTAAATTTTGGAGGGACATACATATTCACACTGCAGCAGCGGCAATCCCCTAAGTTTAGGAATGGAGTTCAGATGATTGCCATGCAAAGAAGATACCACAAAGTAAAAAATTGAGTTTATGCATATGCAAGTGTAGGAGTAGGGAAGGAGGCAAGCTAGCTATGTGTGTCAGGATTAGTGGGAGCAGCTTGATGGCGTTATGACTTCAGGAAGCAGTGTGGAGAAGCCGGGCTGTGGTTTGTGTGTTTAGATTCCATTTGAAAGAGGAGGGGCAGCCTGCAGGGAAGGGTGATAGGAGACATGATCAGGAGCAAGATGCCAGGCTCCAGTGCTAAGGTGCTCAGAGACTTGAAGGCAGGCGGGGGCACTGAGATATTCCCAGGACTTCGGGGAAATAAGACAAGATACTTGGTTTCACTTCAGTGGCCCACTAAATTGCTTGGACATGTTACCTAAGGATTTTGGACCTGCATCATAGTGGTAGTGTCACAGAGGAGATCAGACAGGAGAATTTACATTTTTCTTTCCAAGAGGGGGAGGTATTCAATACTCTTTGCTACTTTGAGCCTGTCATTTTCTCCCCCTAGACTACCCTAGGGCCATCAATGAAGGCAAAACTTTGGTATCTCCCAAAACCCAGCTGGCTTTTTTTATTCATCCTATTTTCACAGCCAAAAGTCCTCTGTTTGCAAAGCCCTCAATGCATAACTGCCTGGGTCTATTTCTAACTTTAGCTATTTAGTTGCACATAAAGTCCCTAGGTATTTCCAGAAAATAGCACGTCTGATGAAAAACCTCTAAGGCTTTCCA